CTGGAAAGCCTCCGCCTGCTTCAGAGTGGCGGAATTCAGGCCTGTGCGCCAGGTGCAGGTAGGAAGAGCAGCCCACAGAACCGGACCATCAGAACCGACCCACGTGTGCACTTGTGTGATACGTGACACAAGTGCAGCCAGGATTCTGTGGGGAAAGGACAGTCTTTCCAAACAGGGTCCTGTAACAGCTGGGCATTCACCTGGCAGGTCAGGGACGCCTGCCCCTACCACACACCGTTCACAAAGGCTAACGCAGATGGATCACAGAACCGAACCTTGAGAAAAGAACGGTCACGCGCCCAGAAGACCATGCAGGGGAGCTCCGTGACCTTGGGTGACAGAGGATTTTAAACAGGAGGCACATGCAGTTGCAGGGATCTGGCAAACTGGACTTCCTCGACGTCAAGGGATGTTGGGTCACTCACAGGCCGCGCACACCCAACAGTGGCCTTTCACCCCAGAGGCTCCTCACGTTCCAGCCAGAAATGGGCCGGCTAGGGGACGAAGGCATCACAGGGCCTGCAGGATGGTGCGCTCTTCTTGGGGACCAGCGGGAAAGAGGAGCCTGCCCTCGGAGGCGGGTGGGATGCCGTCCACCTCCCTGGGAACTGCAGAGTCCCCTCTGGTGGTCACTTGCCTACCTACAGCCCGACATGCTCCAGTGGCAATGGGTGGCAGACAGGAGATCTGCGGCCACCCCAGGATGACAGGAGTGCTCCAGCAGCCCAGGCCAGGACAGCCTGAGCACCCTTCACAGAAGAAGAGACAGACACAGACCATCCCTGCAAGCCCCTGCGGGGTGTGGCCCCGGCTCTGGGCCAGGCCAGGGCAGGCCAAGCTGCGACAGCGGGGGCCTTGGCTGACGTGTTCCATGGTGGTGGTGACACAGGTGACACTGCCAAAGCTCACCAGCATCTCCTTTGAACTTGTGTCCTCGGCTTCCACAGAGAGGGGATGATCTAATCCTGCTCCTAGGCCTCGTCCTTGGGTTCAGTGTGTCCTAAGCAGCCGAAGCACAGAGGTTTTCAAAAGCTCTCCATTTTCCCCAGGGTGTCCCAGGCAGAGGCCTCAGTGTCCCCCTGGGGCCTGGCACCAGCAGACGGGTTCTCCTCAGGGAGGCCTTAACCTGGGACCCTCCTCGCCTAGCACAGCTCAGGACACCTGACTCGGCAAACTCTGTTCCCCAGGAGCAAATAAACCAGCCAGGAGTGTGGCATGCAGCCGTGGGGGCGGGGACTTGTGGTCAGAGATCAGGAGCAGCACTGGGAGCACCGCCCAGGAGACCCTGGGACTCAGCTGCTGCTGGGTCTGGAGGCACCATGTTTGAGAAGGAGCTTGGGCCAGACTCTGCCTGGGTCCCCGGGACAGAGAGGGCCATGGCCCCTACCTGGCCACTGCCTGAAGACCCTACTGGAAAGGCAAGGAGAGCCACCCACCCCCAGCAGCAGCACCTGGGGACAAACTGGTCTCCATAGCTGTCCTTGCGGGGTCACTGCTGCGCATCAGGTTCACATTAGCTAGCTGTCTCATCACCAGGGGACGGGGGATACAATAAATCACAGATTCTTAGGAGAAAGAGGAAATTGCTTTCTGCCTGTGATTCTTTATAGAATTTGTAACAAGAGCTGCTTGTACTTCAGCAAATGCATGGAGTGTGCGGTCATGGTGTGCCCAGCAAACTCCCCAGGTTCAGGAACAATACTGCACAGGTGCATGTGTGCCCCAGGTCCCCAGCGCAGCCTTGTCCTCACTGTGTCACAGGCTTACGCTCCAGGGGTGGTGGGTGGGGGTGAGCAGTCGCCCTGCCTGAGCTCACAGGGGACTCTGGGTGCAGCTGGCCAGCCTCTGCGGGTGTGGGGTCTCTGAAGCTCCCAGGGACCTGGCATCTGTGGGAGTTCTGAGCAGGACAGGAATCAGCTCAGGGGCTTCTGTGCCATCAAGGGGGCTGGGCAGCACAGGACCCCGGGCCCAAGAATGGCAGGCCACACCAGGGAGGTTGTGACCTCAGGGCTGTGTCCAAAAACCCAATCTGGGGCATTTCAGTTCCCCCAGGGTGGAGAAGCAGCCTGACCCCTCAGTCCCCACCGACCTCTGGCAGGGTGGGGTGTCGCTGACCTGGATAAGCTGGGTGTCCAGCAGGAGCCTCCCACACTCCAGCAGCCCCAGGGCGCAGCCCCCACACCCAGCCCTGCCCTGGGTGCCTGTCCGGAGGTCCCTGCTGGCCACGTCCCACCTGCCTTCCTCCTTTCCCTCCACTCGGCTTCTCTCAGCCACGGTCCAGGCAGCACTTTGGGTCAGGGCAACCGAGGCCCTGCCGCTCTGACAGTGGGCAGGGCCGGGCTGGCCCAGGGGGACTTCCATTCACCAAATACTCACTCGGCACCTGCTGTAGGTGCCACAGCCTTAGCAGTCAACAAAAAAGACCCAAATTAAAGCAGAAACACGTTTCTGGCCCGGGTGGGGAGGCAGAAGTTCAAGTGACAGTACCAGCTTTGGGAGTCAGGAGCCCACTCCAGCTGCCCCAGGACCTGGTGGTCAGCTCCTTCTCCCACCCCTCCCTGGGCCAGCCAGTTAGCCCTGCCCCCTGGGGGGACATGGAGCTTAGTGCACTGTGCTCTACCCTCGTGCCCGGGCTGTGGCAGGACTTCCGGGCTCTCCTGCCTCGGCGGCAGCCCCAAGGCCAGACTGGAGTGCTGCCCCTCCTGGGGCCAGGGCCTGTGTTCCCACACCCCGACTTGGAGCCCAACACCAGATGACCCAGGAGGGGGCCATGTCAGGTGGTGAAAGGTCCCAGGGCCATTGCTCCCTTGGGTGCTGACGGGGTCCTGGCCAGGAGACTGCTGGGCCTTGAGCCACCCCAGGATGGCGAGGGCTGGGGGTGCGCAGGTAGGTACAGGAAGGGTGACATCTTGCCTGGCCCTGAAAGGCACTAAGAGGGTCATGTCACAGCAGCCAAGGCCTGCCCTGGAGGGGGCCCCGAGGAGCCCAGTGCTCGCCTGGTGTAGGACCTGGATGCCCAGACGCCTCGTGGTGCAGGTGAGCGGGGCAGGGCTGGCCAGGACCTGGGGACAGCCTTCCTCTGACTGCAGCTGCCTGGCAGGGCCTAGGGAGGCTGGGTCCTGCCCCTGGCAAAGGCCCGGCCAGCTGCCTGCACCCACCCTGCCGACTGCACCCTGCCTCTTCTCTGAGCCGGGCTCACCCTCAGACCCCTTCCCCCCACGGTCTCTGCTCCACCCGGCCTCAACTCCTGCTCAGGGCAGCTTCATGACAGACCTCCAGAAATGCCTCTGAGCTCCTGTCCCCACCAGGTCCCTCCTGCCCTGACCCCAGGCAGGGCAGCACTGCCATTCCTCCCTGCCGGGGGACCCCAGGCCAGCACGCACCACCACGCCCAGCTTCCAGTAGCGTTTACTTAGGAAGTCTGTATGGACGTCCACCGGGCCAAGAGGAAGCGGGGTCCTCCTGAGGCAGAAGAGCCAAGTGGACACTGGCCACTCTGGAAATCAGGGCGTCTCAGAGCTGGAACAGCTCAGGGACCTAGACAGCTCAGGCGAAGCCTTTGCTAGCCCTCGGCCTCACTGGCACCTGAGGTGGGGGCCTCAGGGGCCTCTGCAGGGGTGGGGGTGGGGGTAGGGGCGGGGTGGGGGGTGGGGGGACTAAATTTACACTCAGGTGTTAGAGGCCAGAATGTTCCCTCACAAATTAGAGACTGAGTGAGAAAACGTAAGAGGCCCCCAGGCCTCTATCCGCACCTCAGACCCCCTCCCGAATGCCGGCCTGCTGGGGCAGTGTCACAGAGCAGAGAGGGTCCTCTGTGGTGGGTCTTGGGCCTGTCTGCGAGGCCTGGGGTGACGCTGACTGGGCCTGTGGGTGACAGGACACGGTGACACGGACTGGCTGTCATTGCTGCCTGCACTGTGAAGCTCTTTGTCTTGCAGGCACTCTTTCTAGTACTTATTTTGGGCTTTTCATCATTTCATTTAAATCTGACAGAAGAAAATCAAATGAAATTTCAGACACAACTTGGTTGCATATTTATATAGGAGACATAAATAGACCCTCAATTAAAGTTTATCCTTGAACTGCTTGTTTTAAATCCACACAAAAATACCAAGAGTTAGTTTGGTTTGGGGTTCTGGGGATTGAAACCGGAAGTGCTTAACCCCGTGAGTGCTGAGCCACATCCCCAGACTTTTTTATTTTTTATTTTGGGACAGGGTCTCACTTAGGGTCTTGCTAAGTTGCTGAGGCTGGCCTTGAACTCGAGATCCTCCTGCTTCAGCCTCCTGAGCCACTGGGATTACTGGCATGCACCACCATGCCCAGCTTCCAATAGCGTTTATTTAGGAAGTTTTTAAGGAAGTCCACTGGGCCAAGAGGAAGCCGGGTCCTCCTGAGGCAGAAGAGCCAAGTGGACACTGGCCACTCTGGAAATCAGGGCGTCTCAGAGCTGGAACAGGTGGGGTTGCAGAGGGCTGGCGGTGTAAGACACTAGCAGAGGACGTGGTGTGCTGCGGCGGGGCCTGTGTCAGGGACACAGGGGCACAGAGGACCAGGGCGGTGGGCAGAGACCTACTTAAACCTACTCAACGGCTCCACTACAAAAGCTTTTCTCAGCACACAGCAGGCACCGATCCTAAAGGAAAAGAGCACCAACTAGAGGACCTTAAATTTAAAACTTCAGGTCCCCAAATACTATCCTTAAGGAGGTGGAGAGACCGCTCAGAGCTACATGCACCCTGATGTAAATTTTGGGATCCGGTCCAGGCCTGCTAGAAAGGCCTGGGAGCTTTGGTAAGAGGAAGCCAGGGGTCCCCCAGGTAAGCAGACAGTGACGGGAGGGGACTCCGTAAATGCCATAACCAGCCTCCAAGTAGAAGGGAACGTGGCCCCAGTGGACCTCAGAGAGCAGACACTCCTGACAGTTAGATATCGGGGGGGGACCAAACGGAAAACTAAACAGAGAAGTTAGAAGACAAACTCGAGGACATTTCCTAGAAAGCAGAACAAAACCCAGGTTGCAGAGAAAAGCCAAGAATGAAGCTGGAATTCAAAGGCCCAGCTCCTGACCAGGGGTTGGGGGACTGCGCAGGGACCCACTCTGTGCTTGGAATGGAGCCCTTGCTGCTCTGCCACTGAGGCTTCTGTTAAAAGGAGCATGGTTCTTCTTCCCCTCCCAAATTTCTAAGTGAATTTCCACCCGCCCTCTTCCAGGGCACGCCTCTACGCGGCCTCTGAGTCACCTCCCTCCCGATCCTCTGGTGCCCTTCAGGGCAGATCACAGCCTCTGGGACTGCAGCCCCGTTTCTCCTTTGCTGGCAAAGCTGTAAGACTTGTTTTGCGTCTTTCTCAAAGTGTCCTCGTGATGGACTGGCTTGGGGCCAAGGACTGGACTTTCGGCAACAGGGCCAAGGGGAAGAAGATGGTCTAGAAAATGACGCAGGCTTTTCCGGCTGGACACGGGCATCCACACACAGGAGGCTCCTGACTTCCCGGTGCCACAGTGAGCCCTGGCGCGGTCGCCCTGGCACATGGCCTGCTAGAGGTGAGCACGCTCAGCAAGGAGGAGCTGGGAAACAGCTCTGCTCCGGGAGTCGGCACAGGGAGGGCACAGCTTCAAAGTCCTGAGGTGACATCCCCCTGTGATTCCAGATCCCGTTCCAACAGCGAGCCTTTGGCTGTGTAAAGGGAGCTCACACCCAGGTCTCAGGAGACTGGCTCCCATCTGCACGTCCCAAGGAGCTAGAGTGTGTTCACCAAAGGAGAAGTGGACCCAGCAGGGGGAAGCCTGGAGGGAGGAGGAGTGGGGCCTCAGGCAGGCCCCCAGGGTCAGGAAGGCAGCAGGCTGGTGGCCGGAGGGGAACAGCTGGTGGGACAGGAGATGGCCCACCAGGACGCCCAGAGAGGCAAGCACAGGATTTCCCTGTGTTTCCACTGCACTGAGAGGAGCTCTGCTCTGCCATCGGGAATTCTGGGGTGGATCAGTGACACAGGCACAGACAAAACTAAGCCATCGAGAGAGAAACTCAAGGGCAACGAGCCACATGCAAAGAGGCAAGTGACCCCAACTGCAGGTGGCAGGGAGCCTGGGGCCTCACACCCCCACAGGGGCTGCAGCCCAAGGGGTGGGTCCAGTGCTGGGCGACAGGTTCCCTTTTACCCCTGGGTCTACTCTCCACCCCTGCCAGGCTCTGTGCCAGGAAGGCTGGTCTGCACTGCAGGATGGCCCCCACGCCCCCCCGACAATGGCCACTGGCTGGCTTTGGGATGGGAGGCAGGGAAACCAGAGTGGGGTGACCCTGGGGGCTCCTGGCTGGGCTGATAGCTGGCGATGGGTGAGGACCATCTCCTGCCACGACTGTCCTGTCCTGAGCCGCTCGCCTCCACAGCCAGCCCCCCTGGTCCTGTCCTACTGCCAGGCCTCTGTGGACCGTCCATTCCTAAGCTCCCCAGGATCTCTTAGGGTGAGCCTTGAGTTCCTGTCCAGACATGGCCGTGTCACTTGGGGGCCGTGAAGAGTGCAGCACTGTGAGGACCTCTGCAGGGGAGAAGCAGGAGGACCTCTGCAGGGGAGAGGCAGGAGGACCTCTGCGGGGGAGAAGCAGGAGGACCTCTGCGGGGGAGAGGCAGGAGGACCTCTGCGGGGGAGAGGCAGAGCCGGGCAGCCGTGAGTCTGGGGGAAGTGCAGGTGAATCGGCAGGAGGCGCGGCAAGCTGAGCGGGGACTGGGCCCACATCAGGGGCGAGGGGACCCAGGGACGGGCCTTGGTGAAGAACCAGCCTCCTCAAGCCACCTCAGCAGATGGAAGGTCATGTGGGTCGGGCAGCAGGGGTTCTGAGAGCCTGGCAGCCACCTCCTTCCCCCACTGGGCAGGCCAGCCCGGGGATCACGCAGCTCCTGCAGTGGGGCGAGCTCTGGGGCTGCTGAGGGCTGCCGCAGGGAGCACCCCGGGGAAGGGAGGCCTCCAGACCAGGAACCGTGGGGCCCTGTGTTCACGGGGGTGAAGTCTCCCTCCGACCCCCAGGTCCTCTTTCTGCCTGTGTCCAGAGAACTACTCGAACCCTCCAGGGAGTTCCATACGGTGGTGTGGCCTCGAGGCCACCTCTGGAAACCAGGGGCCTGGGGGGGGGGTGGCCCTGGTGCCTTGTCAGGGAAGATCACGCATCCCTTCAAGGGCAGCTAGTGCCCAGGGCTCTGGGTCCTGGTAGGACTGGGAGGAGCTCCCTCTCCCCCAGATGAACGAGCGGATGCCAGGGAGGAGGGTCAGGCCCTCGGCCCCTGAACGTTCCTGTCGGCTTCTGAGCCCTGGGCCCTGAGCACACCCACTGGACCGGTGCCCGCCATGTGGACCCTGGCTCAAGAGCTACTGGGATGCCCCAGGGCTGCCAGCACTGGCCACACTGAGCTTGAAACTGGCGATACTGCCCCTCTCTGATCCTCAGAGTCCCGTGACTCTGGCAGCCCTGTAGCTAAGGCGTGTGGGACTCCCGCCATCAACACGCTGGGCCCTGCTTGTCTTCAAGTCAACCTGACAGGAGAAGGGGAACCTTGTGGGAGGGGAATGGGGAAGGTCAGCGGAGACTTCCTGCACCTGCCCGGGTGGGGACCGGGAGGCGCCCCTGTCAGCAGGTGGGAGGCTTTGCCTGTCCTGTCCTTACGAGGCTCACATCTCTGCAGTCCTGAGGACCAAGAGAGAATGCCCGGTGGGTGTGCAGGGAAAACGGCCCAGAGTGTGAGCCCCCTGCCTGGACCCAAGCCTGCTGGGGCCCTCGCCCGACCGCGCCCGCCCACGTACCAGCCTGCGGATCTCCCGCTCGCACTCCTTCTTGATGCGGCTGATCTCCTCCTGGTGCAGGTGGTACACGCTCCTGATCTCGGCGGCCTTGATCTTGTCCGCCTGCGTCACCAGCGTCAGCGCCTCCTCCACCTGCCTCTTGGCCCCCCTGAGCTCCGAGATCTCCTGCTGCATCTTGACCTTCTCCACCTCGAAGCCCTTCCTGGCCTCCTCCTTGGCCTCGCACAGCAGCACCGTCTTGGCCTTGTCGGGGGCGCCGTCGCGCAGGGCGTTGAGCAGTGCCTGCAGCCGCTGGTTCTCGTTGTCCTTGATCTTGATGACCCGCAGCAGCTCGGCCTCGTGCTGCCGCAGCAGCGCCTCGCGCACGGCCTGCAGCTCCTTCATCTTCTCCTCGTGCAGCTTGGTCTTCAGCTCCGTGACCAGCACCGCGTGCTTGCGCTGCTCGTGCTCACGCACCTGCCGCAGCTCCTGGCTCTTCTCCCGCTCCACTCTGCTGACCTGGAAGACAAGGACACTGTGGTCACCCGCCAGGCGAGTGCCCGCTCCCGGGAACCGCAAGCTGCATGGGAGGGGGGCTGCCTTCCATTCTGGGGTGTGCTTAACATGCTGATGAAGACCCCAAGTCAAGCTTGCTTGGTGGAGAGCGTGGCCATGCCCTGCGGCTCTGCAGCACTCCTGGCTGTAGACCCTGACCAGCCTGCCTCCCAGCCTCCTCCTTCCCCTCCCCAGCCTGGCCCGCCTGCTCTGGTCTCCTCTGCTGATTCAGTCCCACAGAGCATGGCCTGTGTCTCTGTGGGTCCGGTGCACCTACTCCACCTCCTCTCCGGGTCCCACTTCAGGAGCTGCCACCTAACCCCTGGCATAGGACTGGGTTACTTTCCTCACAGAGCTGATCATTCTGTTAGTCAGCTCTCCATTACTGTAACAAATACTTCAGACAAATCAACTTCTAAAGAGAAAAGGTTTGTTTGGCTCACAATTTCAGAGGTTCCAGTCCTTGATCAGTTGGCCCATTGCTTTGGGCCCATGATGACATAGCATCACAGCAGGGGCACATGGCAGAGCAAAACCACTCACCCTGTGGCCAGGAGATAAAGGAAGAAAGGGCTAGGGTCTCAGGATCCCCTTTCCAGGACAGGATCCCCGGAGCAAAGACCTCCCTTAGGCCCCACCTCTTAGAGGTTCCCCCAGCTCCTAGTGACACCCCGGTGGGGACTAAGCCTTCAGCTGGGGCTGTGGGCTGCATCTGAAATCAAGCCATGGCACAACCCTGCGAGTCTGCTCATCTCTGTGACTGTCCTGTCTCCCTCCCACCACGGGCAGCCTCTGAGGGTGGGGGTGGCAGGCCACCTGTCCTGTCTCCCTCTGAGGATGGCCTTAGGCCTGAGCCTAAGCAACTCATTTTAAAAACTCCACTTTATAACTCCAGTCTCCGCACCCTGACAAACTCAGCTAACTCTCTGGCTTGTTGTCTTTGCCCTTATCAAGAAAATCAGGGTGGGGACCACCAGACCAGATGCTTTTACCCTAGGTTTACCCTAGAGACCCAGTGGCAGCTGATAGGGATTGAAAGTGTGGTCAAAAGCCCCCAAATTTAGAATAAATGAAGGAGCACGTGAACGGACGTTCAGCCAGCCAATGCTGATGCCCACAAGCCGGGAGCCTGATGAGGACCTGCACTGACATCCCATCACTTGTCATCCTTGGCTGATCCTCTGTGTGGTCCTCACTGCTCTCAAACTCCACGCCACATCTTGACCCTGGTGAGAGCAGTGAGTTCTCCCTGAGACCCTCTCCTCAACCTGCCTGCCTTGGAGGAGGAGCCTGCCCTGGTTCCTGACCCGATGACCGCGGTCTGAGTGGGCATCTGTGGACTTAGAGCCCAAGGCTGGAGACTTTAGACTGGCACTAGAACTTCGCATGCTGAGGGGATGTCTAAGTGTGTTTGCGGTGCTTAGAATTAATTAGAAGTGTCTGCTGTGAACTGATCGTGTCTATTGCAGTGCCCAGCATTAAGGATTGTCGTTTTCTTCATTAAGAACCTATGGAGTGGAATTGTAGTGAGTGAGCTGAGTGAATAAGCATTGAGGGGGCAGAAGCGGTGGACATTCTTCAGTTCTCCCCCTCGCACCTTCAGCCCTCACGACCCTCCCCACCAGGAAAGGCTGACAGGGCTCACTCAGCTGGTGCTAGGGCTGGCGTCCAGCACTGGGACTGGGGTCCCAGCTGTGGGGTCCAACCCTGGGACTCCCTCTGGGTCCCCTACGGGTACTACAGTGCTGAAGGTTCCAACCACCAGGCTCTCCTGACCCTGCCAGGGGCCCGCCTGTCTGGACTCCGCCTGGCAAGCTGGCAGGTGCCGAAAGCGAGGGCACAGACGCTTGCCGCCCTTCTATCTGTCATGGACCCCCCTTCCAGCAGGGACCAAGTTCCGGGTGCCGGAGGGTGTTCTGGGCACCTGGGGGTGTGGCCCTGAGTCTTTGCCTGCCTTGGTGGGTCACTTCTGCAGGGCTGCAGACCATGCTCCGTGGGGGCTGGGGGTGGAGCGGGGGTGGCTCCCATCTAGGGTCAGGCACACAGCAGGTCCCCAGGCTGGACATGTCCTCTCAGCAGACAAAGCATCACCTTTGTGGAGACTCCTTGATGGGCACTCAGCAGAGGACAGTCATGCGTGGCATGTCACCGAGCAGATGTTTGTGGGAGGGGAGGAGAGTGCAGGAGAGCGCGGGCGGAACAGTCCAAGGTTAGGCGGGTGGAGACCTGCGTGGGGTCCTGTGGAGTGATTCTGGGCCCTTCGCCCAGAGCCTGTGACTTCACCACCCCCCCGGGTCTCCACCTGAGTCGACATCAGACGTGGGGAAAGGCAAGGGGTGGTCTCCAACAGCCCAGGGCAGCAGGGCTCCCGTCAGGCAGCTGCAGATACAGCGTCCAGGAGACGCTTCTGCTCCTGGAGAGCCGTGGGAGGTGGCCTCGCTGGCCCTGCTTCTCAGCAGGCAAGGGCCGCTCCGCCTCCAGCCCCAGAGACTGAGGGACAAGGGCAGAGGACACAGCCCTAGGTGGCCCGGGTGTGTGGGGGGCGGGAAGCAGCTTTCCCATGACTCGGAAAGGGAACTGTTCAGGAGGAAGCACTGCGGTCCTCCTGAGGCCCACCGCTGGCTCTCACAGCAGCCCGCGGCCTGGGGGACAGGCCTGGGGGTGCCCAGCTGCCCTGGATTAGCAGTGAGGACTCCCCTCCCCCGGGGGCCCTGTCCCTTCGGCAGGCTCCCCAGGCCACGGGTGGAGGTTTCCTCACTGCGGGGTGCGCCTCCGCGTGCTATCCGGCTGCCGTGGAAAGGCGAGATGAACTTTTGACTCTTCTCCCAGCCCTCGGGTGCCGAGGAAGTGGTGCCTTGGGAACATGTGAACCTGGACGTCCTCGATGGGCTTCGTTCCGTGCACATCTCATCCTGGCCACAGCTGCGTGTCCCCCTGGCCAGCGGCCCTCTCCAGATGCCCCTCGAAGCCCCAGGTGCCCCCAGCAGCCTCCAGGCTCTGACGGAGACCCTGCCGCTCCTCTTGCTCCTCTCCCACAGCGCTGTTCTCTTCATGGGAAATGGCACCTCAAGGTCACCACCGGGCCCTGGGTTGCTCACTGCTTCTGGGGAGGTCATTGTGGGAACTTTTCAAGAGACAGATGAAACTTCAAATTTGGTTTTACAGAGACATACACAAACCATATCACGTCTTAGTAAGTATAAGGCTATATGCCATATCTTACGCTAAACAAAATACACCACATTTGTCACCCACATGTGTGTGCGTGCCTGAATGTGCCCACACCACACGCACACACGTGCACCTTGTGAATTCACACTGACACGTACGGCTTCCCACTCGAACCCAGGGCTACAGGGCTCCTGTGGAACAGCACCGCGGTGTCTGTTCTCTCACACCAGAGCCTGGTTCTCAAGGAAACAGACGAGGACGGAGTCCCCGACACTCATCTCATCCACGTTACCCTGCAGTGGTGTTCACGCTGATCCCAGCACCGCCAACCCGACTCCCCACAGGGGCTGGACCTCTCACGTCTTCGCACGCCCCGAGGCCGCGTGCCAGCTCCCCCAGCTGTGTTGCCCAGCTGCTGCTCCTGCCCCTCTTGTTCAATTTTTCCCTGAGGAACTCCAAAGCATTCCTTTGTTCCCCACTGGCCTGTGCAGACAAAGCCTACCAGGCCACCCTGGTAGCAGCCAGCACTGAACTCACCACAGAAGCCTTGAGGGAAACGCTGGCATCATCAGCCCAGCACCAGGTATTGAGAGCCGGGTGTAGTGCCAGAGAGAGCGAGCAGCATGTCCTAGTGACCCAAACCCAGGAGCCACGGCTTTCAGACTAGAAAACCCAACGTGTCCACAGGGGGTGTCCACAGGGGGTGACCACAGGGGGTGTCCATAGGGGGTGTCCATAGGGGGTGTCCACAGGGGGTGTCCACAGGGGATGGGATGGGCTTGGGCCAACACCCAGGCTCCCAGGAGATACTGCCCCTGCAAGTGCTTCTTCTGGGTCTCCAGACAGGGGGTGCACTGGGCATAGCCCCAGAGTGACCAGGGACAGCAGGCTGCTGGCCAGCACAAACCCCAGGACGGTGACAGCTTTGTGCTCACCATGACTGAGAGAAAGAGAGAGATCTGCAGCACCCAGACTTGGGCACCTGGAGTTGTGCCTAGAAGCCTCCGGTCACTGCCCTACACAGCAGAGCCGCCAGGCCAGCACCCCACCTGGAGACAGCCCCTTGGCAGGAGTGACTTTCTGATGGGCACTGCCCCTTCCAGGACGACAGGTCTGTAGGAGGGACATCCTGAGCAGGTGGAAATGCCCTAGGTGACGGAGGTTTCTGTGAGCTGCTGTGCAGAACCTGAAGAGACCAGCAGCCGCGGTGGGACCCAGGCTGCCCCACCACGCAGGCCGCTGGCCCCTGCCCCAGTTCCTCCTCCCCGTCAGCTGGCGCTCCTGTGAGCAGCCCGAGGACAGGGCTGCGGGGCAGGGCTGCGCTCTGCCTTCCCATCTGGCCACAGTGACCAACGCTCCCTGCTTTCCAATCATTTTCTGTTTGGTTGTGAGGACAGCGGCTGGACCTGGTGTGTCAGAGTCAGAGTTCTGGCCAAGACTCCAGTGACATCTGTGTCCTCAGCTTTTCACGGCTGTGAACAAAAGACCTGGGAGGGTCAACTAGGAGGGAAACGTTTATTGGGGCTCAGGGTTTGGAGGCCTCAGCCTACAGATGGCCACTCCATGCCTGGGGCTCAGCGTGGGGCAGGACGTCGAGGCAGGGTGCGGGAGGAAAGCGGCCCAGAGAGCACCCCTCCAGCCGCACCCCACCTTCCCTCAGCTACGCCCTCCCCTCCCCTGAGCCTGTCATTCCTGGTGTGGCTCAGAGCTCTGGAGTGGCCCCCCAGCGCCTGGCCAGGTCTGTCCCACGGTCACTGCTACTATGCACGGTGGGTTCTGGTGGCACTCCTGTGCCTCTGCTGGTGTCCACTGGAGGGCTAGCAGCTGTGACCCTTGGGTGACTTCATCCGTGTCCTCCAGGGTAAGGAGGGGCAGAGCTGTCAGAGAGGCCCAAGTGTCCAGCGGCCATTCCCAGTGTTGTTTATCCTCGCGGCCCTGATGGGGGGCTGGGGACTTGGGGGGAGTGGTCGATGACCCTAAAAGTCCTTCTAAAAGGCACTTGGATCAGAGACAGGGGCTCTCTTGGTGCCTCGAGTGCTGGGCAGAGTGGCCCACTCACAGGTGCCTGGGCCCGCCCTTCTTCTCACTGGACATCTCTGTGCAGAGGCCCCTGGCCCCAAGGTCACGCCAAGCTCACCGGCCAGCACCGCCGGTCTGAAAAGTGGCTCATCTCTAGACAGGTCGGGCCGGAGCTTCCCTCCCTCCTCTCACGGAGAGTGACCACGGCAGACGCTCCTGGCCATGGAGTCCGGCTGGCACCTGAGGAGCGGCTGGAAGACCAGCCACAGCCACCTCTCCATGGGACACGGAGCTACCCTGAGTCACCACTCACAATGACACCACAGAGGTTGCCCCGTGTGGCCTTCCTGCCCCCCAGCCGCCGACCTCAAAGTGTTCATCACCAAGTAGGCGTTTCCTCCAGGACTCACATCACAAGTGGCTTCTGGTCCACCGTGCAGGCTGCCTGGTGTCCCAGGATGGGCACATGCTGCCTAGCCCTGCTGAACGTCTGGGTTGTCACATGTTCGTGGACTGGAATGACTTGGCCCACAGAAGCCCATGTGCAGTGAGCCCCTGAGTTAGTGCCCTGGTTGCTAAGCAACTGAGCCGCAGCCAGTCCTAGGCTGAGGCTGCCAGATGATGCCCAATAAGCACCCGGCCGTCTGCACCCATCCCCATCAGGTGACCTCCCTGCGTTTCCTGCCGCTGGTCATAGGAGCAGGTCCCCACCTTGCTGGGGGACATTGGGACCCCAGCAGGGCTGCAGGGTTCTGCAGGGCTGTAGGGTTCTCAGACCTTTTCTTACTCAAGTCAACTTTGTTTAATTGAACTGGTCTCCATTCTTTCTACTCACATTTTCAAACAAACTGATCCAATATTTTATGGATTGCACCTTTGAAGGCACGATTTAAAAGAATATCATGTTTAAAAGGTCAGTTATTTTCCTCATCTAAGTACATACAAAAGCATTCAAAATTTTGATCCACATGGAAAACCTGTGTATAAACTGAATAAATAAACTTTATCCTAAAGATTGGCCAGTTGCTCCAATTCTATTTACACTATAATCAATCTTTTCTCTACTTAACTTAAAAACTGTCTTTATGCACAGGGGCTCAGGCGGAAAAGGAGCAACCTAAAGATGCATTTAAACAGAGGGGGTTCAGAGTCAGGGACTAGGAACAAGGGCAAGGGCAGAGGAGCATCTGGGGCTGGTGTGGGGACAGGGAGCCAGGAGTGGGCTCCCACTGGGGGCTGCAGGGCGTAGGCCCGGCAGACACTGGAATTACTGAAGGGGTCACCTGGTCAGCTTCAGGGACCACCTGCTCACAGGCAAGCATCTGGTCAGGTTGGTGCCGGCACTCACAGGGATGCCAGGCTGAGCCAGAGCTGACGCAGGTACACGGCCACTCGCAGAGGTGCCACCTCGCCAGAAGCAGGAAGAGGGCCTGTCCCCCTCCCAGCCCTCCAGCTGGTCAGTGGTCTGTGGGGCCCCTGAGTTGGTACAACGCCCCTCCCCATCTACTGTCCATCTTGAAATGCCTTCCAGTTCCTGGGTGGTCATCCTTCCAGGTTAGAGTGCAGGGCCTTCGGTCTCAGCTCCACCCTGGACCCTGGGCTACTCATCAGCCTCCCTGAGCCTCTCTGGTGCCCTCACACGATGGGAAGCAAGAAAACAGCTGAGGTTCTCAGATGGCAAATTCCTGCACAGGACCAGCCACCTCGCACCCCTCGGCTGCTTTCTCTTCTCCACCTTGTGTGGAAGGCGGACCTATCTCACCTGCCTTTTTAGTCTCAGGGTGGAGATGGGCTGACTCACCAGTGAATGGATGCAGGGAGGGCCTGGTGGAGCAGCGGGGAGGAGGCTGGCCTCTTTGTCACGTGTGCTGCCTCCTGTGGATGCTGCCTGCCCAGGGTCCTGTGCATGGACCCATAGCTCCTCCCTCCTGAGCCCAGTGCTCTGAGCCATCGCCAACAACTCCGTCCCGAGACGTGTGGTTGTCAGCCCACGTTTCCAAGGGGAGAGTGGGACTCTTCTGTGCCACACTCCCTCACCATTTCACAGCTCTGGCTGCATGGTGGCTTTGCAAAATGTAGACTTTGGGTCTCATGGACCAAAATAACGACTTACGGGCACAGGGGCAGCCTGGGTGTTTGGTCTTAAATTTTTTTCCCCAGGTGAGTCAAATGTGGGCCACAGTGGAGAGCACTGCTGAGGTGAAGCCCCCAGGACCTGAGCTGACCACACCTGGGGTTTAGTAAGTGAGGAGAGAAAAATGGGGTGCCCCAGGGGGATGAGGGAAAGCCCATTCAGCCGACCCCCGACGTGTACATACAGACACGCCATGCACACAGAGACACACCATACACCCATTGACATGCCATGCACACACAGACACGCCATGCACACTCAGACATGCCATGCACACAGACACGCCATGCACACCCAGACATGCCATGGACACACAGACACACCTTGCACACATATACACACCATGCACACACCCAGACATACCATGCACAAACAGACACACCATGCACACATAGACACATCATGCACACATATAGACATGCTATGCACACAGAGACACACCATACACAGACACACCATGCACACACACAAACATGCCAGAGACATGCACACATAGACACACCATGCACACACATAGACATGTTATGCACACAGAGACAC